GGCATGGGGTGGGAGGTGGAGCTAGAGAAGCAGGAAAAGGCACATGCCCATCTCATGTGCTCTGCTAAGAAATGTGGCTTCACTCTAAGGAGAGATGCTGAGATGAGAGCAGGAGTTCTTAGGCAGGGATTGTATCTGCTAACTACCACATTAATAATGCCACAAAATGAACCTCCCCAACAAGAAGTAATAAGCAGCAATCATGTATTCTCATACACAGACATGTGAATCTGTGGGCATGGCTCTGATCCAGGCTGCAGGTCTCAGGTTAGCAGAAGATGTGGCTGAGTCTGGGTCCCAGACCAAAGGAAGAGCAACTACCCAATATTAGCTCTTCTCTTATAGAAGTGTGAAAGTACAGGTGGGTGAGTGGACAGACAAATGCCTCTGGAGACTTCAGAGAATAGTCATACCATTACAAAATGACTGCTGGAGCTCCAGTCACCCATATTCATTTGATACAGGAAGAAGGTAGAAATACATGAAAAAAGGGCACATTCCTCTTTTAGAAGTCCTGGTAATATGACCCAGTGAATCTCATTCATACCTATTCATATCCTAATGACCAGACCTGGTCAGGAAGTTGTGTAGGACTCCAACATCACCTAATATCCTAAAAACAATAGGCAGCCACATTCCATTGCTAAAGCACGTCACATGGCCTAGCACAATACCATGGGAGGAAGCAAGGTCAACTCTCCTCCTTGAGTGGGAGGTGCCACAAAGTCAGGTGGAGAGTGGTGGTAAAATATAGGGAGGTTGTGAAGGATCATGAGTGATAATTTAGTATATCTTGGGGATGAGGCAGGTAGACTTTTTCAGATAGTTCACTTGGGCAGTCATATGGAAAGAAAGCAGAGCTGAGAAAGGTGATGCTGGAGTTGAAAGGACCAGCAAAGAAGGTCACATAAAATCTCATGAAAACCTGGACTGGGCAGTAGTGAGCTGGGATAAAGTTGGGTTGATTTAAAACACTATATGTGATAAAACTATTAGGAATAATGTCCTAGGCTCACTTATGACTGTTTTTCAGATACCTCCATTTAACTTGGAGAGTCCAGGTTGGCATTAGCAACAGTTGTTGCCTACCTAGTATTATTTTCTTCTCTGATTTTACTTGTGATATTAACTTGTCCAACTTAAAAAAAACAGTCATAGATTATTGGCAAGCTCTGGTTATCAGGAAATAAATGGATATGAATGCGTTTCAATGGGTCATATTACCAGGACTTTTAAAAGGGTAATGTGCCCTTTGTTCACGTGCTTCCTCCTTCCTGTCTCAAATGAAGATGGCTTGCTGGAGCTCTCGCAGTCATTTCATGGTAACTAGGCCAAAGATGGCTGAGCAGAGAGAAGGATTCTACCTTTGATGACATTCCAAATGACCCCATGCTAGCCCTCAACTGCCAATCTTTAAAATACCAGCTTATGAGTGAAAACCCATACCTTCTTTAGGTGCGACTGCTTTGAATTTCTATACCCTGATACCACATAGTGCCTTAGTAACCTAAAGCAATAGTATTCATTAAATAATAGTCCCTAATCAATGACAAAATTAGAAACATTAAAACTTCACTAGGATACTCCACCTCAAAAGTGTTTGGAAATTTGTGGAGAAGTTTTTCTTTGGTTTTCTTCTTCCTTACCCTCCCAACACAAGTCCAAATTCTCCTTCAAGCCATCTATTTGCCTTCTAATATCTTCTCAGATGTTAAGTGATTTGAAGGAGTTAGCAGAGAAAGCACTTGTTTTAGTCAGCTTTTTGTCTCTGTGATCAAAAGACCTGACAATCTTTAAAATATCAGCATATGAGAGAAAACCCATACCTTCTTTAGGTGTCTTGGTTGGCCAACCGCATTGCTCTGTACCCAAGATGAGACAGAGAATCATGGAGGAAGGGCATGGAAGAGGAAAGCAGCTCAAGACATGGTCGTCAGGAAGGAGAGAGAGCAAGAGAGAGAGAGAGAGAGAGAGAGAGAGAGAGAGAGCAAGCAAATTAGTTCTGCTCCCCAGGGTAAATTATAAACCCCGAAGGCACTCTAGTGATCAACTTCCTCCATCCATACCCTACCTGCCTACAGTTACTACCCAGTTAATGGACACTTGTTAATCCACTGATTAGGTCAAAGCTTTCAGAATCTAATTGTTTCACCTTTGAACATTCTTGCCTTATCTTTCACAGGAGCTTTTGGGGATCACCCCATATCTAAACCATAATAGCTCTGGCTGTTTCAATTTAGAATAGGACTCCTGAAGAACAAATGGAGGATGGAGGAATAAATATAAGTGATGGTTCCCATTTCCAAACAGAGGACTGCCCAGCTATAACATCAGCAACAATAAGGTTGCATTTCTGTAGAGTTATCTCCATAAAGAACTTCACAGATTTCATCTCATTAGCGGCCTGAAGCCCAGCAAGGTTGGATGATTTGTTCATGGGCAAGAACTAATAAGTTAACAGAGACAGGACTCATATTTTTCTGACTTGAATCTCCCTTCTTATGCCAAAACTGGTGTTAGAAACTGTGTGAGGAGAACCTTCTGTGGGCATGAGAGAAAGGGAAGTGTCAAAGAAAGATTGCATCAGACATGGTTAAACAGGCAAGGAAGACTTTATTCAAGATGACTGAAAGACAGACTGAATCAACTCCACTGAGTCAAAAGGGTGGGGGTTGTTAAGCACTAAGGTGTGCTAGTGGAAAAGTACCAGAGGACATTGGGGTGGGAGGTTGGTCAATGTGAGGAGGCCACCTGCAATTGCCAATCAGAGCTTGTTGCAATTAGGTTCCTGCCCTCCACAGACCCTGGGAGACAGGATCTATCATGAAAAGTGCCATCCAATGCTTGTCTTGAAATCATTGAGAAGGATGTTAGGGGGTTGTAAAACCAAAACCAACAAGAAGTTGGGAAAAGAGTTAGATGGGTCAGAGAGAGGATTTATAATTAAAAGTCCACTAAAGTAAATGCTCTGAGAAAAAGGAGGTCAAGAGCCTATAGTTAGGAAGAGATCTGTGTCTAGTCAAGCTGAGGGGAATGTGAGGGTGAGAGGGCAGCAAATATCACCTTTCCTTGTTCTCCAGAAAGCCAGGTCTCAGGTCTCAGCCCCCAACTGATCACCTTTAACAGGTAGCAGCTTTATCAGGGATGGACGCTAACCAGCCTGTGGAAGAACTCTGATTTAGATCCTCATTCTACCAGATAGAGATGGTTCCCTCTGCACCCTGGTTAACTGAAACTGTGTGTGTGTGTGTGTGTGTGTGTGTGTGTGTGTCTGCACCTGTGCATGAAAGGGGGGTGAGGAGAGGTTGGAGAGAAAGACAGACCCCTACAGTTTTCTGACCCTATCTCCATCCCAGAAATGACATTCTCAGAGCCAACTGCATCTACTTCTTTAGGCAAAAATCGTATTTTCATCTCAAAGTTGGTTTCACCCCACTGTGCCATTGGGTAATCCAAAGACAGAACCCAGAGATGCAGAGTTTCCTTCTAAAAAGCCATCCTCCTTAACCCTGCGGCAGAAGAAAACGGAAATCTCCTTGGCTGGCATTTCAGATTGCCTAAGGGGACCTTGCTTTGCTCTGAGGGCAGGTGACTGCTGACCTTAAAATCCAGGCTTCAGGAGGCATAGGATAAAGGTATTTTATTGTCTCCTAAAGGCTTTGATGTTTTTCAAGTAAAAATTTAAAAGATCCAGTACTTTCCCGTGAAGCCTCTTCACAAAGTAGTGGATTTTAGAAAAGACAAAGGCCTGGGGGTGGGTGGTCCCTAAAGAGCAGTACCTGGAAGCCTCTTTTTCCCCTTTCCAGAGCATTAGGGTTTTCTTACCTCTCCCTCCTTTTTTTTTTTCTTACCTTTTCTCCTATTATCCAAAGTGCACATGGTCGGTTATTCCTCAGGTCCTGCTACCCCATTTTTCCTGATCCCCAGTCCCTTCAAATACCAAGCACCTCTCTTTTGATTGGCAGCTGTTTCCCTGCCTGGTGACAAGCCTGTCCTGCTGGGGGCTGAGGAGGGAGCGCCTTTGGTCACAGGGTGGCGCGCGCGAGCCTCTCAAAGCCCAGGCGACCACAGCTCCGCACCTGCTCTTTTATATCAACCCCACCCGCACCCCAGCGCTCCAGGAGGCGCGCCCCCAGCCTTCCCGGGTGGGATAGCGAGGAGCGCTTCTCTGGGACCTGGGTGACAGTCGGGCGGCAGTAGCGTCTGGCCCGCGGGAGAGCTGCTGCGGGCTGCGGAGGTCCCCGGCTCTAGGCTCCTCCTCTTACCGGCCCCCCACCCTCCCCATCTCAGCTCTTTGCAAGGCTTCCTGGAGCAGCCTTGGAGCAGCGGCAGGCGCAGCGCAGGCAGCAGGAGGAGCACAGCCGGCCAGCCGCGCCGAGCCTTCGGGCAGCGGCGATGGCGTGCTAGAGCAGTCCGGGAGGCTCCGCGGAGCCCGGGGCACCCTACACCTCTAGGAAAGAAGAGGACCCCCAGGGGCTGCAGCTGGGAAAGGGGGAGGCAAGTGCGTGTGTGTGTGTGTGTGTGTGTGTGTGTATGAGAGAGAGAGAGAGAGAGAGAGAGAGAGAGAGAGAGAGAGAGAGAGAGAGAGAGAGAGAGAGAGAGAGAGAGAGTGTGTGTGTGTAGGGCGGAGGGCAGGGGATTCATTCGAGAGCGCAGTCCCCTGGATGCCCCCGCCGGTACTCCAGGTTTTCCCGCGTGGGAGCCGGCTCCCTGACGTCGCTCACCATGGACTTGCGCGGAGTTGAAACCGGCCAAAGCACCAACCCGCAGTTGACTGCCCAGCCCTGGGGCATCGCGGGTGCGCGCAAGGGGATGGCAAGGTAGGATGGACGCCCAGCGCGACCACCGCCGCCCCAACGCAGCGGTCCCCGGGCGGTGCCGCTGACTCTCCAGAGCGCACAGGCGTGTGGGTGGAGGCGGCCCCGCTTCGCCCGCGTCTTCGCGAGTCGCTTTGCCTCTTCGCCTCTTCCACCCACTCGCACCTGCCACCGCGCCAGACCATGTCGAAGGCTGCTGGAGGCACAGGGGCGGCGACAGAAAGTTGTCCCCCAGCCCCGGCTGGTACGTCCCCCGCCGCCGCGGTGGAGGATCTGTCCAAAGTATCAGACGAAGAGCTGCTGCAGTGGAGCAAGGAGGAGCTGATCCGCAGCTTGCGGCGCGCCGAGGCAGAGAAGGTGAGCGCGATGCTGGACCACAGCAACCTTATCCGTGAGGTGAACCGTCGCCTGCAGCTGCATCTCGGAGAAATCCGCGGGCTCAAGGTGAGCGCAGGGTCAAACGGGGAGCGGGGTGCACTGGGAAGGGGGGAAGACAAACTTTCTCTCGCTTCTTCAACAGGCGATTCTCCCCTTTCTCCCAGTCAGCACCCCTCACCCTCATCCTCAGGAAAGTTTTTCAAACTTTGGAGGCTTTTGCTTGCCTCGTTTTCTCCATATGGGGCGCGCCAGCTTCGAGGCTCTCTAGGGTCCTTCGAAGCCAGTAGAGAAGGGGCCTAGAATGCTGAAAATCGGGGTGGGGACCTGATGGGCACGCAAAACCTTTAATTTCCAAAGGACCCTGTAAAGTCGATGCTTTGGGGAGCCGGGTTATAGCCAACCAGGGGGAAAGGAGAGCAAAGGAGAAAGATCAGGGCATCTAAGACTTCGGGGGTCAGGGATATGGCTGCCCTGGCGCCACCAGCTCTCTGCTGAGCAGAGGGCGATGAAAGGGCACCACTGCCGAGAGAAGGGGTGGGGGGTGGGGGTGTCCAGAGAGAAGACGCGGGCGCCACCCTTGGAGCCTGCGTGTGTGTTACCGGGTGCAGAGGATCTTAAGTTCTGCCTTCAAGTAGACTCCTAGCTTTTGTGCTCTCACCTCCACTTCGGCTAACGTCACCTGGAGTTGCCTTACTCCCCTCCCCAGTTTACCCCTAATTTGATTTTAATTTTATCCAGCGTGTAAAGAAGGGGGAGGCAGCAAAGGACTCAATATGGAGGGGTCAAGGTTTTGAAAGGGTACCCAAGTGTCGGGCAGTAATGCTTTCTTTTTGATCCCGTCATCTTTCTGCCCATAGCAAAAGGAGGGGGGAATCCCCAAGCCCCACTAACCTAACTTTTCTCCTTGGAAATCTCTGTGTGTGCCGGCAGCATGCCCACAAGGCTGTAGCAGACCTGGTGGCAGGGTGACCGGGAACCGCCCTGCCGGCAGGCACTGCAAACTTCCTCTCCTCAAGGCTTGCCTGGTGCCTCCTGGTATTCCTTCCTCTCATTGTTCTGCTTTTGTTTATAGGAAGCCAGACACAAACGAAATCACTGTAGAGACCTCAGGGAGCAGATTCCCGCAGGCACAAGCTGTTCTTGTCCCTTTCCACTTCCACCCCACTTCTCAGGCAGTGGACTCTGTTCGGTTAATTGCCTCATGCCCTGGGATTTTGGGGCAAAGAGGGGTGGGAGGGGCCGGGTGCCCAAGACTCACCTGTGTGCTAAAGTCAGTGTGGGTGAAAATGGCCCTTCCCAGAGACCCAAACTCGCTGTCATATAGTCCCTAGAGAGGGTGTAATAAGGAAGATTCCATGGTTAGAGAAATCCCAAGGCTTGCTCTCTTCTTTATTTTAATTCATTACTAATGGAGTATTTATTAAGAACCAGGCACTTTGGGGAATAGAAGTAGGCTAAAATAGTGAGAAGGAATATCAGAGGTGGATTTGAATCTAGAGTCTGCGTCTGCCAGAAAGGTGAGCTTGGCTAATTAATTTGTCAGATCTTTATTTTATTCATCAATAAAATGCAAATGATAAGAATCATTTCCTATGGTGTTGTGACAGTAAGTTATGATCACACAGGGAAAGGTTTAATACTGGACTTGACTGCAAAATATGGTGGTTAGAGTCATCAGGAGAGGACATATACATGCATAGTCATTAATTTCCAGGTCTGGGTTTCTTAGGCAAAGCTAGACAGTGGTATTAATTCTCTCCAATTTAATCTTCCAAGGTTTGAACCATGATGTGGCTTGGGAAAGTTTTAAATTACTTAATTAATTTCCTGAATATTTAATGCTATGAAGAATCAATATAATAGCTTAAGAAATTCTTCAACATTCTTTTAGGTTGTGTGGACTTGACTGTGTATGAGGGTCTAGGTGTGAGTGGGAGGGGTCTGGGTGGTGGGCTGCCTGTTCTTTACTGGAGGAGCCTCATTTAGAGAAACAGCTGTTTGGCCAGTTAAAAGTGGCAACCAGGTAAGAAAGTTTCCCTGTGGCCTAGATTCATGACCTGGCATTAAAAGACTCCCTAGCCTATCTCTATCAAGTTCGGAAATGATGGAGGTAGTTACTTTCTGTGGCAGAGTATACTCTTTTGATGTCAGCCCTGGGCAAATTCAGGAGGTGGCCTGAGGGTGCCATGGGGTTAAGGCTCTGCTGAGAGATAAATATTCTCCCTTCTCTTCAGCATTTGGCCTCAGAGCTTCCTTAGACACTGCAGCAATCAGAAACATGATTGACTGAATTAATGGTAGGTATACTTATTTATTTTGTCTTAACCATAAGAAAAAGAGATTTTATATTTGGGCCTCTATGGTTGGATACTCTGCATTGAGAGGTGTAAAGGTAGGATAATGAAGGCCACAACACTTTTCTTTGCTGTGCCCCTTTCTGTGAACTGACATTGACATTATATCTAAATATTTTTAAGGCTAGTACATAGGACTGCAGCTGTATGATTTGTCAGCATGGGCAAACTGTTAACCTCTCTGAGTCGTTTTCTCATCTGCTCAATAGGGATTTTGATTCCACACTAAGTTTTGTGAAGAGTAAGTGATACCCAGATGCAGAAGCTCAGTGAGCCTAGTTAGCTTTCTCAAAGTCACACAGATTAAAATGTTGGAAATAGGTCTACTTTCTTCTTCCTTGGGTAGTTGACATTCTTTGATTAGAATGTGTGAACTCAAAAGGGATGGAGAAAGGAGATTAGGGTGCTGGATTCCTGAGAAACATTTCTTTGTATTATTGAGCATATACCAACCTTCAGGTTACTCTGACCCAGAATCCCGTTGGGGGGATGATTCTGGGGCAACTGAATCTCTGTTGATTTGTTGTCTGAATTTCATTAATTTCTCTACTTGCTCCCTAACACATCAAACCCTTCCCCTAATCCTACAGTAAGAAGAAAGAACAAATTAGAACATTTCTTTAATCATAGATGCAGTTCTTCATAGTCTGTAGGCAGAAGATTGAAAGTTTGGGTGGTATTATAGGAGATGGACTTCAAGGTTTAAAAGTCCACTTTAGTCACTGGGATAACATCTATTGGACTATGGTGATGTCAGAAGAACACTTAGGGTTTGGAAAAAGAAATTCCAAGTCTTTTTTTTTAATTAGTTGCTCAAAACATTATAATGATCTTGACATATCATATATCATACATTTGATTCAAATGGGGTATGAATTTTTATTTTTTCCCACATGTACAGATTGCAGGATCACATTGGTTATACAATCACGTTTATACATACTGTCATACTAGTATCTGTTGTATTCTGCTGCCCTTCCTATTCCCTTCTTATCCCTCCTCCCCTCCCCTCCCATCATCTCTCTCTACCCCATCTACTGTAACTCGAAATTCCAAGTCTTAATGAGGAAGATTTGAAGAACCAGCTCATAAAGTTATTATCAAGCTGGTTGCTTAGCTGGGCATCAGAGGGTGAAGGAAATATCCCCAAATTAGTAACTAAATAATATTCCTGAGAAAATTAATAATAGGAAGGAGCTGTGATAAAGGAAAGTGAATGGGCCCATACCTGCTCCCAGCCACCCTCCTGGAATACTGAGAAAGGGCTGTTTTAGGTTCTTTGGAGAGGACATTAATTAGAGAGGACATTAACTGAGAAGCCTTTGGAATTCCAGTTTGCATTCCCGTTCTAGAGAAATCAGGAGTAGCTGTGGGGATAGTCAAAAGGAAGTGTTTTCAGATGTAGATTCATTCAGATGAAGAAGAACATGACTTGAACTTTCTATCAAATGCCAGGATTAAACTAAATGGTGAATAATTTTTTGAAGCTTAGAAAGATTAATTTTGTTTAGTATTATTTTCTCTGAATATCCACAGCTTCTGATTTTCTCTAAAGCATCTGCATCAAGGGATAATTTATCCTCTTACTATTGTGGACTCCAACATGGCAGGGCTCACTGAAAACAATTGTAAGAAGCCCTTTTTCAGTAGTTACAGCTGTAGCCTTTTTCCCCCCCCATTAAAAAATTTTATTTATTTCTTTATTTTTATTAGCTCATTTTAGTTGTATACAATATTAGGGTTGCTGTAGACTTTTTTGGTCCCAAGCCTAGGGCTTTTAAAGGGTTGATCAATCCAAGAACACGTATTAAACACATATTAAACACCCACTATATTCAAGGTACCATAATAAATATGTTGCAAATGTCCCCCCCACCCCCCAAAAAAGACATCAGACTTCTCCTCTGCCTTCTAGAAGCTATGTTATCTATATGAGAAAGGAGATAACTGATGCCCAATGAATGCTAAAGTGTGTTTCAGGCATTAACAACAGGTGGGATGTTACTTCATTCATTTATTCATGGGGTGGTGTTCCATGCAGGGGGAGACTTCTCAGAGAAATCTGTCCTTTGAAATAAGTTCATACAGGCAGGAAGGTGATACTTCTAGCTGGAATGCATGGTATTCTCAGGGTTCAAAACTAGTTAACAGAAGGAGCTAAAGGTGGAAAGGCAGAAAAATCCTTTTAGGCTTGGCCCAGGGGTTTATTCACTTCTTGGCAAAGGGAAGGTGTTGGAGGTTGGTTAGCAGCAGAAGGAAAACATTCAGGAAATGTTTTTGAAGTTGAAGATCAGTCTGGTTCAGCAGGCCAAGGAGTGCTTGGATTGGAGTGGGGGAGGGAAGACTAAGGCAGAAAGGCCAGCTAGGAAACTGTTGGCAAACGTCAGGTCCTAGTCATAAAGGGGCCATGGAAAGCAAAAGGAAGAGGCCGGCATTGGAAACAAGGAAATGGAGTTGTTGGTAACGCCAAGAGTTACAAATGGAGTTAGAAACGAAGCTGCATAGGCTTCTTCCTCAAGCCTCAAAATTCCCTTTCATCTTAGGCCTTGTTAATGTCAGGAAGTGAAGGATATGGTTGGCAGATGTTTTCAAGTGTATTTACTAGTCAATATCAGGGGAAGTATGGGAATCAACCTCAGTTTAAAAGAAGTAAGTCCCCTCTCTGAGAACCTCAGGTTCTGGATTGGATGATGAAATTGCAAGACCAGAGGATTTCAGGCTTGGAAAAACAGGGTAACTCTTAGGTAGCAGTCCCATAGCTGCCTGTATATCATTTCTATCAAACCCTGATGCTTCTTTCACTATATGTGTGAATGGAGAGCAAGTGGGAATGGCACAATGCATTTTTAAATTTCTTAGTTTGGGGTACCTACATTGGGTGTACTGCATTCTGCATGCACAGGGGAGTGGAATAGATGAGGTTCCCATTCTCATGACTCTAGTGAGGGTGGAGACTTGAATTAGCAGGCATACATGGCAGTATTGTAATAAGTATGACAGAGGCAAAGTCTAAGGGGTGATATAGAACATAGAGGTAGACCTTCTTTATATTGGGGTGGCCCTTCTTCAGAATGCCTTCTATGGGGGAGTGACATAAAATGAACCCTGATGGCTGTGTAGAAGGCTGGGGAAAGAAAGCATTGCAAGTGAAAAAGGAGAAGGCCTTCCCCTTTGGTAGGTTGGGGGTGCTTAATGTGTGATGCTCACCTTCTGCCCTGCAAGCCACCTATCCAAGCTATCATCATCTCCCACCTGGACCAGCCTAGTAGTCTCCTTGCTGGTCTGGTGGCCATTTTGTCCTGTCTCCCTCCCTGCTCTCCCCTCCCCAACCCAGCTGGCTGCTTTTTTACACTGAACTATGATGGTTCTTCACAAAATGAATCATATGTCATTCCTCTACTCTCAGCTCTTCAACAACCCAAAGTCTGACCACTATTCAGTCCCTGACAACTCAGACCTTCCTTATCTCTGTGCTTTACATAGTGGCTTCCCTGTGACTTGGGCTTTTGCTGTCATGTCCTTTCAGGGGCTTTTGTACTTGCCTTGTCTCTGCCTGGGATCAGCTTCACTGACATGTTTGCTCTTTCATTTCACTGAGGTCTTTGCTTTAAATGTTTCCCTTTCCTGTAGAGACACCTTCTCTTGAAAAGTAGTAATTTTTAATCTGCTTTAGTTTTTATCCCAGAATCTTTCATTATGAGCCATTATGTGCTTTGCTTGTGTGTGTGTGTGTGTGTGTGTGTGTGTGTGTTTCCTATTCTTTTCCACCAGAATGAAAACTGGGGGATGTGAAGGTGTCTGCTACCTCTACTGATATATCCATATATCCATACCACTTGGGCTGGTTTCTGGCACATAATAGATGCTTTACTACATATTTGTGAATGAACAAATGGATCACCATCTATGCTGGAGAAGTAGAGCAAGTCATAGCATTTGGGATCTTGTGAGAATTGAAGCTATTCAAAGGTTTGTTTGTTTTTTTTAAACACGGGAGTGACTAGATGAACTTAATTTTAGAAATCAAGTCCCAAAACTTGTTTGGCTTGGAAGTAGAAGGTGAGGGAGGAGATGCCAGGGATAACTACAGGTTCTTAAAAAGAGCATAGGTGGAGGTGGGATTTGCTGAAACGTGTAATTTGGGAAGGGGTGTTGTCTATCAAGAGGTCCTTGAGGCTCAAGTATCAGATGCTTGGGAGATATTTTTTTGGGTATGGCAAATGGGTTGGATGTGCAGGACTGAAATGCCACTAGAGGGCAATTGTGCCTTTCCCCAGTGGGGGGATTGGGGTTGCTCATTCCATATTGTGGGCTAAAAATTAAGTAGTCCTTCGATTGCTCTGTTGAAAGCCCTGCTGCCTCAGTGTTTTTAAATGTTTAGTAGGTGGCAAGTAGCCATCTTTCTTTCTAGAGGGTGGGGTAGGGGGAACCTTGTTTTTCTATTGACTGGTTCCCTGTTAATTAACTGGCTGTTCTCTAAATACTGTCTAGATGATCTTTGGATGAGTTAAGCTTTGAGAAGTCATTTTCCCCATCTATGGGTCCCCTTCAGAACCATAATAATTATTATCCATTATGTGTTTAGGTGAATATTAGATAAAATAATGCAAGTAAAGTATTGTGCAGGGAACATGACCAATGCCTATTATTTTTTGACTTTTAAGGATACTTAAAAATCTTCAGTTTCTTTTCACCTTCTTACCTCCTCTGGCAATTTCCTGGAGAATTTAGCATTTCCACATTCTCTGGCTCCTAGGAAGTCTGGCCTAATGAGGTCTCCTATGTGTACCTCCCTAGAATGGTTCTCTGTCTTTTTTCAGGATATCAACCAGAAACTCCAGGAGGACAACCAGGAACTGAGGGACCTCTGCTGTTTCCTGGATGATGACAGGCAGAAAGGCAAGAGGGTGTCCCGAGAGTGGCAGAGACTAGGCCGCTACACTGCTGGGGTGATGCACAAGGAAGTGGCCTTATATCTTCAGAAGCTGAAGGAGCTGGAGGTGAAGCAGGAGGAGGTGGTGAAGGAGAACATGGAGCTCAAGGAACTCTGCGTGCTCCTGGACGAGGAGAAGGGTGCGGGCTGTGCTGGCAGCCGCTGCTCCATTGACAGCCAGGCCAGCCTGTGCCAACTCACTGCCTCCACTGCACCGTATGTGCGGGATGTGGGCGATGGCAGCAGCACCTCCAGCACTGGCAGCACTGACAGCCCTGACCACCACAAGCACCACGCAAGCGGTGGCAGCCCTGAGCACCTGCAGAAGCCCCGGAGTGAGGGCAGCCCGGAGCACTCCAAGCACAGAAGCGCCAGCCCTGAACATCTACAGAAACCCAGGGCCTCCGGGACCCCAGATCACCCCAAAGCACTCAAAGGACCCAGCCCCGAGCACCACAAACCATTGTGCAAGGGTAGCCCGGAACAGCAAAGGCACCCACACCCTGGAAGCAGTCCTGAAATGCTGCCCAAACACGTGCTGAGCGGGAGTCCAGAACATTTCCAGAAGCACAGGCCAGGGGGCAGCCCGGAACACGCCAGGCACAGCGGAGGGAGTCCTGAGCATCTTCAGAAACACGCCCTTGGTGGGAGTCTGGAGCACCTACCCAGAGCCAGGGGCACCAGCCCCGAGCATCTCAAACAGCATTTTGCGGGGAGCCCTGATCACAAACACGGAGGCGGAGGCAGTGGTGGAGGCAGCAGGGAGGGCACCCTCAGACGACAGGCGCAGGAGGACGCGTCACTCCATCACCGGAATGTCTACAGTGGCATGAACGGTGGGTCAGTACGTGCTGGGGAACTGCGTTGACTGGGGCAACTCAGTAGAGTTCTGAATGACCAACGGCTTTCCAGCCATGCTGGAAAGGGGTGGATTGGGAGGAGGAAGAGGCATTGGCTCTGGAATTATGATGTGTGTTTCTTCCCCTCAATTTGTTTTTGTTTAATACAGTTATCAGTCAAGTAAGCCTGAAGAAGGTTGGGGGGTGAGGGATTAGAGGAGGGACAGGAACAATAATTCCCTGGGACCCTGAGTTGCCTGGGTGAAATCTAAATATTGGAGATAAAAATAGATTCTTCCCTCTTGACCTTTATTGAATTGTATGAGGTTTCCTACTCGGGCTCACTTGTTGAATGAAGTCTGAGCAGGTCCTGAATCCAAGCTAGTATCTTATGTTCAGGAAGAAATCAATATTTATGTTGAAAAGACACGTTGAAAAATAAATATGGTGTCCCTTGATGCAGACTTGATGCTACTTTGCTTGAGTGCTTATAAATGTTCCTTAATCTTGAGAATTTTTCCCATTGTGTTGGGGGTGGTAGCATGAATCTGTGATTTTTATTTGTATCTAAAAATGTATCAGATAATTCCCTTCCCTACTCACCCAAAACTCACCAACCCTCTAACCAAACCCTCCTAAACATATTCTGGACAGTACGCTCTTCTACATTACATAAGAATCTTTATGGGTCATTTAAATGTACCTCTTTAAAATGTACAGATGTGCTTGGACACTCCTTTGAGTTCCAAAGCATAACATCCACTGCATTTGCTGAGGCAGCACTAAACCTGAGCTTTTAAACCTTTTGGAAGAGGCTTAATTTTCTGCATCTTGGTTCTGAAACCACTTTGAACTCAAGAGAGAAAGAAATCATTTCTTAAAGAAAACAAATCAAAAACCAAACAAGCAACACACATATACACACACACTCTCGCAAATCCACAACCACAATAACCCACCTCCCCCACCAAACCTTACACTTCTTTTGTGTTACCTATCCTTGGGTTGAAGCTTAAAGTGATTGGTTTTTATAAATGTGGAACTTTTCATTCAAAACAACTGAGTTCCCCCCCCCCCCCCCCCCCCCTCTTGGGGGGCTGCTCTATAGAGTTTATGTGCAGCTAGCTCTGAGCAGTTGTGGAAGAGGCTGCCGGTTTTAGCAGTGACACAAAGGGGTAAATTTTCAATATTGTACTTGGGGATTTACCTGTTGGATTCCATTTCAGCCTAATCCTTTTCTCATAGTGCTGAAAATTGACTCCGGAAGCTTGGCTTCTAATGCAGCCAGTGTTCTTTTCAGTGCAAATGGAACTAGAAAGAGGGAGGGGAGGGATAGGAAGCTACTGCTTTCTGGGTTGTTTGTGTTAAGAGGCTGCAGGGAGAAGCCAATTCACCTGCTTCCTGGAGGCCTCCTGGCTGGCTGGTGTCTGGACCAAGTTAACTGAACCTACACTCACTGTTGCCAAGAGCCACAGCAGCTGTGCCCCAGTGGCTTTGGGGGGGCGGGGGGGCTTGGCTATGCAGGTCTCCAGAAGAGATAAAACTCATTTAAAAAGATATTTTAGTTGTGTTATTATCATGAGATGGGTCATTGGCCATGACACTTGTCTTCAGGGGCTGTAATGGGTCAGTGGGGAGATAGTTAAGGACTTTTCCATTTTGTGATTACATTTTAATGAGCTGTAGAAGTAACTATGTGCACTATTTTAAGGAAACTTTGTTTCTTAAACTAAAACAAAACAAAATAAAACAAAAAACCCAATAGCTAGCGGCAGGTGGTTCACTTAATAAATAATTCTTCCATTATTATTCTTGAATATTATTATTTTTGACTGAGAAATTATAATTGTATATACTTGTTGGGTACAATGGACTGTTTTGATCTATGTATACAATGTGGAATGATTAAATTAAGCTAATTAACATACATATTACCTTGATGATATTTTTATATGAGACATTTGGAATGCACTTTCTTAGTTATTTTGAGATGTACATTGTTGTTGACTATGGTCATCAAGGTCTCAACATATATTCCTCCTGTCTGAAATTTTGTGCCCTTTAATGAACAACTCCACATTTTCTCCTTTCCCACTATCCCAGCCTCTGATGACCAGTATTCTACCGTATACTTCTGTGACTTCCACTTGAGTGGATCCTGTGGATAAGTGAGATCATGTGACATTTGTCTTTTTGTATCTGACTTATTTCAATTAATATAATATCCTTCATTTTTATCATGGTGATGCAAATGAAGGATTCCCTTTTTTTATGGTTGACTAGTATTCTATCTTCTATATATTCCACATTTCCTTTATCCATTCATCCATGGATGGACACTTAGATCAAGTCCAAATCCCTGCTATTATGACTACATGATGAAATAAATGTGGTAGTACAGATATTCCTTCTACATATTCATTTCAGTTACTTTGGAAGTATATCCAGAAGTAGGATTACTGGGTCATATAATCATTCTATATTTAATTTTTTGAGGAACTTCTGAACCATCTTCCATAATAGCTATACTAATTTATGTTCCCACCAACATTGTATGAGTTCCCTTTACTCAACATCCTCTCCAACATTTATCTTGCAACCTGTTGATAAAATCACCTTACCAGGTGTGAGGTGACATCTCATTATAGTCTCAATTTGCATTTCTCTAACAATTAATGATGCTGAACATTTGTTTGTATTCCTGTATTCCATTTATAGACCTTTTGAGAAATGTTGTTCAGTCTTTTGCCCATTTTTAAATTTGGGTTGTTTTCTTGCTGTGGAGTTGTTTGAACACTTTAGAGAGTATTCAACTTTATAAATTCTTTTTATGCTTTGCACAATAACCTTTTATAAGAAGTATGACTTGAAGATATTTTCTCTCATTCTGTGTGTTGTCTCTACTTTCTCCATTATTTCTTTTGCTGTGTAGAGGCTTTCTAGTTTGATATGATCCCATTTTTCTATGTTTACTTTTGTTGCTGTGCTTTTAGGGTTAGATCCAAAGAATCATTGCCCAGACCAGTGTTATAGAACTTGTCCCTATTTTTCCTTTTAGTAATTTTATAGTTTCAGGTCTTATATTTAAGTCATTCATCTATTTTGAAGATTTTATGATGATTTTTGTATTTGGTACAAAAATCTTTCATTCTTCTGCATGTGGATATCTAGTTTCCCCAATGCCATTTATTAAAAAGACTGTCCTGTCCCCATTGTAAGTTCTTGAAAACTTTGTCAAAAATTATTTGACCCTAAGTGTTTGGGTCTATTTCTGGAGTTTCTGTTCCATTCCATTCATCAATCTGTTTTTTTTTTTTTTTTTGCCAGTACCATGCTATTTGATGACAACTGCTTTATAATATGTTTTGAATTGGAGAAGTGTAATGCTTTTAGCCTTTAGTAGAAGATTATTTTGGCTACTCAGGGTCTTCTGTGGTTCCATATGGACTTAAGGATATATAGATATATTTTGCCATTTTTGTGAAAAATGACATTGGGATTTTAATAAAGATTGCATTGTATCTTTAGATTGCTTTGGGTGGACATGGACATTTTCACAATATTAATTCTTCAATCCATGAACACAGAACATCTTTCAGCTTATTTGAATTTGAATTTTCTTCGATTGCTTTCATCAGTGTTTTATAAATTTCAGGATATAAGTCTTTTACCTCCTAGATTAAATTTATGCATGCTTAATTTTTTTATGTTTCCCAAGAGTTTATTATTAGTTTATAGAAGTGCTGCTGATTTTTGTATGTTGATTTTTGTGTCCTGCAATTTTACCGAATTTGCTTATCAGGTCTGCAGGTTTTTTGGTGGATACTTGGGTTTCCTATACATAAAATGATGCCATCAGCAAATAGACACAATTTTCTTCTTCCTTTCCTATTAGGATGGCTTTTATTTCTTTTGCCTAATTTCTCTGGCAGAGATTTCCAATACTATGTTAAAAAGAAGTGGTGAGAGTGAGCATCTTAGAGGAAAAGCTTTCAAGTTTTTACTGATGAGAATAGCATTACCTTCAGGTTTGTCATATTACCTTTATTGTATTGAGGTACATTCCTTCTATAATTGAAATGATTTTTACCATGAAAGGATCTTGAATTTTGTTAAATGTTTTTAAGGTTTCTGTTGGGAGTTTTCCTCTAGTTTAATCGATGCACGATTTAACTTAAAAGAAAAATTTTTAGGTATAACCTTTAAACAATGCCTTACACAAAGCAAGGTATATTTGTAGAGAACGATCATATTACATCATGACTTATTTTTGCCTGAATTCTGGTAAACATGGTGGGTCAGGCAAATGTTTTGTAGAATCGAGCAACTTAATTTAGCGACAAATTTGATTTAATAGCTACATTATTGAATCACACTGCAGTTTTAATTCTTGCGTCTACTTCAAGTTTTCTCATTCTTAAATTTTCTCATCTTGTGCCTACTTCAAGTTTTCCCATTCTTGTGACTACTTCAAGTTTTGTCATTCAGATCTTCTGGTGACAGTCGATATCCTCACCAGAGTATATTTATAGTACATTTGGATTGCATTTTCATTTCAGTAATTAATTGGAAAATGAAGTGGCACAATGAGATGTTTATGGATCATCAGCCTATAAACTTGTGCATTGGTAGTTTGTATTTATCCTGCCGTTACAAATTAATTTTTGATATGGATGGTAAGACATGCTTTTTCACATTTTAAAAATTGCCACACAATTTGTTTGAATCATTGGTGTATAGACAGATAAGAAGTAGTAGCGAGGTTAATCCCAAATTACAGATTTGCTGAGTCATTTCCAGAGCTCCTCCTTTAGGGTTGGGATGAACTATGAGTGTTTTGGTTCAGCACTTGCATGTTTTTGTAGGAACAAAAAGCAGATGAAAGGAAAAGGAAGGAGTGCCTAAATTATGGCAGGCAGAGAGATGAAATATATACTGGCAGAATATTGTCCTACCTGTAAGATATGCATTTTCTCCAAACACACACACTTAAGCAC